GTTCTGTAATAGAGCTGGACTTGAACTCAGTTCTCATGACTCCCACGCTAGTGAGCTACCCCAGCACCAGGCTCCCTCTGCAAGGAAATTCCATCTGCAGTTACTAGAAAACACTTTGTAAGTGCACTTAGAGAGATACTAGAAGATTTTAAACCGGACTGAGATAAAGCGAGTTTCAGGTACCCAGAAAGTAAATCTGACACTTGCTTTTTTGCTAACTAGCATGTTGGTACTTTGCTGTATGTGTGTGTGTGTGTAGCGCACGTCTAAGAGCTTGTGTATATTGTATGTACGCGTGGACATGGACATACAGAGGGTGGGAGGTGACCGAGAATTCCTCCAAGCCCTCATTGTCTTATCCGATAATAAAAAGCACACTAGCTAGGTCAGAAGGCACAGGTTTGAATTCGGGCTGTACTGAGAACCTGCTGTGTTGACTTCCACCAAGTCTTTACCTCTCTGGGCCTGTGCATCTGAAAAACAAAGAGGTTGCTTTAGATTATCTGTAAAGAATCTTCCAAGTGTGTGGCTGTAAAATGAATTCACGGTTTATACCCAAAGCATACAATTGAGATTTTTAGTAATCTGGTGGGTTTTCAAAGCAGTGACAGGTGATCTTTTTAATAAGCGGAACCAGTCAGGTTAACTCCCCACTTGAAAACCCTTTCGGAACTTAGCAATACCCTTAGGATAAAGTCTACCTGTAGGTAAGACACACATGGCCCCCCACATGGGTTCTGGTCCCTGACAACTTCTTCAGCCTCATCTTTCACCCCGTTTTGTCTCCGGCATCCTATGTCTGCCAAACTGAATGCTGCCTCTCCAAGTCTCAGATGGCTGCTGCCTCTGCTCTCTATCTCCCCTCCCTCACACACTTCAAGGCTTCATTGTCCCTAGACAAGCAGCTCACCATCCCCTCTTCCAGGAAGCCTTCCCTTGGCCACCTCCTTACCCTACCCTGTGAGAGTCTCCTTCCCTTGGAACCCCGTTTCCCTCTATTATTACACTGTCTGCTGCTCTGGGTTATGAGGGCTTCCAGGGCAGAGGCCAGAAGTTTCTGTTTGTCTTACCAGGACCTATTATTTCAGAGGACTCTAAGTCCACATGCTGAAAGCCAACTCTATTTTCTTTTTTGTTAGAGAGATTTTTACTATAGGGTGCTTGTACTCACCTGAGAGACAGAGACAAAGAGACAGAAAACTAGAAATCACCCCCAGGAGAGATGGCCCCACGGCAATCTCTTCTCCATTCTCCTCTAGGGATTTTGGGCACACGTGCTGGCATTGAGTTTTTTGTTTGTTTGTTTTTAATATTTATTTATTTATATTTATTCATTCATTTATTTTAATTTGACCAAAGAGAGACACAGAGAGAGGGAAAGTGAGAAAGCAAGCCACCAGGTCCAGGACTTGAACCATGGTCAGCCATGTGGGAACGTCCAGTGCCTTAACCACCATGCCACCTGCTGTCCCCGAGAGACAGAGAGAGAGAGTGAGATGGACTCGATGCCGCAATCCTCCAGCCTCCATAGGTTTTTGCCAGAGGGTGGGCGCCACCATGCCCCGGCATTGAGTTTTAAGCCGCCAGGTCCAGGACTTGAACTATAGTCAACTACGTGGGAGTCTAGCAAAATAACCATTATTCCATCTGCTGGTCCTTCAACAGTTTTCTTTTGCATTTCGGTCTTCTCTCCCCATTCGTTAGTCTCAGCTGCAGCAGCAGGGAATAGAGAAAAACTGAACGGCCTTTAGAATGTACTCTGGCCCTCAGAGAGGACAGTTAAACCATGCAAGTAAATTCTGCGAACTGGTGATGAGGCAAGTTGGCTTTCAAGGAATCGATCTTGAGATGATTAACATTTAGCCAAGTGGCTGGTTCTATTACAGAGCTTGACACGTAACAGACATGTGGCAAAAGTTAGTTGTTATTCTCGTCATTTTTAGTATCAGTGGTTGTTTAGGGAATGCTTGTTGAATAAATTGAGGTCATTTGTGCACAGTGGTTTAAAAATCATGAATGAAAAAGGAAGAGAGAGAGAAAGAAAAAAGAAAGGAAGAAAAAAACAAACCCTTGCTCTTCCCTCCACTTGAACACTCTCCCCTTTTTCCTTCTCAAGCTACTCATTTTTCAAGGCCTAGTTCCAAAGTCTCCAGGAAACCTTGAATCCCGCAGGCAAATGTCAGACTTCTTCTAGCTTCCCCATCCCCTGGGACTGCAAGGACTTGCTTATTAGTTGTCTGTTTTCTGAGAACATAAACTGATAGAGCCACAGAGCAGGCTCTTGCCCAGTTCAGTCCCTGGCATGCATTTGAGGGCCTGGTACATAGGAGGTGCTCAAGGAGGCTTTGTTGAGGTGCATTGAAAAAATAAGAGGAAGCTGCCTGAGTCTGGGTGGGACTGGGTCACTGGCTGGCTGTTACCTTGGCCTCTTAGTTCTCTCCATTTCCCTTTTAAAACAAGGCGGATGGGATGAGGTCAACATTTCCCAAATGGAATTTGTTGGAACCAGCACAGTGATTATGGGTATTTCCTCAGGTGGAGAGTGGTGCATGTGTTAGGAAAATTAGCCGGTGCTGTGTTAAACTGAGTGCCAAGTACTGTGGTTTCAAACGCGTGTCTGCTTCTAAACTCCAGGGCTTCTCAGAGCCTTCTCCATGCTGACGCGCCCTGTGCATGTGCATGTGACCTGCACACGGCTTTGGCCAGGGCATCCTACTTATCGATGGGCCTTGGGTTCTAAAGAACAGGCTTTGAAAAACACCAGATTGGCCAGCCACCTCAGGGGCCTCTCTACTCCACCTGCTGTGTCTAGTCCCTGGGCTGAGCATGCCAGAGGAATGCAGAGATAAGGCAGACTCAAGTCTTCTGCTGACCTCCCCACTGGGCAGGGAGATAAGATTAACCTGGTGCTTGAGTAACCGGGTGCTGGACAGGAAGAAGCAGTGTCCAAGGACAGGTGCAGGCATACAGCCACAAATACAGAAGCCTAACCATAGTAATCTGATGGGGCTTCATGGAAGAGGAGGCATGAGACCCAGACTCTGAATGGGCCTATGGGCCCTTGGTGGTGGAGGATAAGGGGGCTCCAGGCCAGTCAACCATATCAGCAAAGGGAGAGAGAAGGGGAAAACGCAAGGGATGGACACGGCCCAGCATTCACTGGGACAAAATGAGTGTGAGGGAAAGCTCAGGTGAAATTGGGAGGAAAGCTAGAGCCTGACCAGGGAGGTCCTTGCATTCTCAGCCGAGCCTGGGCTTCATCTGAGCGCAGAGGGGAGCCCCTGAAGATGGTTGAGCTGGGATGAATTTAGAGACGTGCAATCTGGCAGCCATTCATAAATTGGATTAGAAGAGAGGCACTAGGGAGAGAAAGAAGTACTGTCTGGAAGGTAAACCGTGAGGACAAAAAAAGAGGAAACTGACCAGAGAGGTCTTTAAGAACTGAAACAGAGGGGCCAGCAGGTGGCATGGTGGTTAGGGTGCTGGACGTCCACATGGCTGACCATGGTTTGAGTCCCAGAACTTGTGGTTTGCTTTCTCACTTTCCCTCTCTCTCTGGTCAAATTTAAAATAAATAAATAATTATAAAGGAAAGAAAAAAAAAAGCCTCTGAAGTTGAATTAAAAAAAAAAAGAACTGAAACAGATGGAACTGGTTTGCCTGGATACTGGGGCGGGGAGATCTTAAACAAGTGTTTGCTGAGCAGCTACCACATCCCAGCATCAGGCATGGAGCACAGCAAATGGTCAAGCAACGGCCTCCACATGCACCGAGTTTGCAACTTGCACCCCTTAATCAAATGCCCACACGTGAGTACACACTGTGACGGGAAAATAAAGAAAAGCTTGGGGCATTAACCAAGCATGTAGGAGGGACAGCCTCATCTGGGGGAGTGTGGTTGGCATCACTGAGCCAAAGGCTGAGGCATGAACAGGAGCTAACCCAGCAGAGGTGGGCAAAGAGCACCCCCAAGCTCTGGTCCAAATGACGGGGGAGACTGCAGCATGAGAGCAGAGCAGCGTCGAGGGGCTCTAAAGCCAGAGGTGGTGGTCTGTGATCTGAGCGCCTCAGAAGGTAGTGATGCCACTCAGACCATCAGCTCCCAGGAGAATCCCTCGTTTCTGGAAGCAGGCAGAGCACAGGAAGTCTCCAAGGGATCAGCTGGAGTAGAAGAAGAATTCAGGGCTTTCCACTCCCCCACCCGCTACCACCGCTAGTTCAAGTACCCCTCTAGGGTGCTGGACGTCCACATGGCTGACCATGGTTTGAGTCCCAGAACTTGTGGTTTGCTTTCTCACTTTCCCTCTCTCTCTGGTCAAATTTAAAATAAATAAATAATTATAAAGGAAAGAAAAAAAAAAGCCTCTGAAGTTGAATTAAAAAAAAAAAGAACTGAAACAGATGGAACTGGTTTGCCTGGATACTGGGGCGGGGAGATCTTAAACAAGTGTTTGCTGAGCAGCTACCACATCCCAGCATCAGGCATGGAGCACAGCAAATGGTCAAGCAACGGCCTCCACATGCACCGAGTTTGCAACTTGCACCCCTTAATCAAATGCCCACACGTGAGTACACACTGTGACGGGAAAATAAAGAAAAGCTTGGGGCATTAACCAAGCATGTAGGAGGGACAGCCTCATCTGGGGGAGTGTGGTTGGCATCACTGAGCCAAAGGCTGAGGCATGAACAGGAGCTAACCCAGCAGAGGTGGGCAAAGAGCACCCCCAAGCTCTGGTCCAAATGACGGGGGAGACTGCAGCATGAGAGCAGAGCAGCGTCGAGGGGCTCTAAAGCCAGAGGTGGTGGTCTGTGATCTGAGCGCCTCAGAAGGTAGTGATGCCACTCAGACCATCAGCTCCCAGGAGAATCCCTCGTTTCTGGAAGCAGGCAGAGCACAGGAAGTCTCCAAGGGATCAGCTGGAGTAGAAGAAGAATTCAGGGCTTTCCACTCCCCCACCCGCTACCACCGCTAGTTCAAGTACCCCTCAAGCACTCCTGACCTTGCATGAAGTCCCAAATGTCACACCTCTGTCCTGAGAGGTGGACCACCGGGCCGTTTGGGGCCAGACCCCCTGGCTCAGTCGTGTCCTCCAGTCGCTGCCAATAGACCTTCAGGACGAACCAGAAATACTGGGTACTGAAGAAGGTTGGGATCCAGTTGTCGTGAGCGAAGTTGGGGTTCCTGGCTATGCCCGTCTTCTGACCCAGGGCCAGGATGTGCTGCTTGACTCTCTCTGGAAACAGTGTCAGTAGCACTTTGCCCACAGCCACCTGCACAGTCAACTGCAAGAAAACCCAGAGCCTCTTCAGCCATAGCCCTGCCCGGGGCAGCCCCATCTGGGCACCTCGGCACAGCCAGCACTGACTCTGAGGCCGATGGGCAGAGAGTCGGCAGCCAGGAGACACTGGGTGGAGCCGAACAAAGGTGCAGGGTGGGAGCAGCCAACCCCAGACAAGAGGAAGGTGCCAGCTAGAAGGTGTTTGCCTTCCTGTCAATAAAATGGAAAATTCCATGCCAGGTGCACAAAGGTCTGTTCTAATCATTATCATCTCAAATTCTTTGCCTCAGCTTTTGAGAGATTCTTAAATTGGGAGATTCCGGGTCTTAAATGCTCCCTCTGATTAATTTTTAAAAACAAATACTTTAAAAGGTCACACTTAAAGGGACTCTGTTAAAAAATCTATTGCAAGATAATAGATTCTAATGTTCATTCTGCTGTCAATAATATAAATTGTTCTTTTTCAAATGAAAGATGTCCACTCACAGCTTCCAGCTGGTGGTTGAATATTTCTGGATGCAGAGTCCCCCCCTAGGGCTATGGATCTGGAACCTCCTGTGGGAGAGACAGAGCTGAAGCTGTCCCCAGAGAAATTGGGGTCTGCGACTCCCATAAGCACGGGGAGTGAAGTGATAAATAAAGCAGGTGGTGTAATGGTTGAGGCGCTGGATTCCCAACATGGCCAACCGTGGTTTGGGCCCTGACTCAGTGACTTGAAACTCATGTTGGGGCCATGTGCGAGCGTGCCCAAAATTCCGAGAGGAGAATGGGAGAAAAGAGATTGCAACATGGCTATTCCCCCCGGGGGTGGTTTCTTACTTTCTCCCTCCCAAGTGCTCCTGATCTTGTGTATGTTGTATGTATGTCTCTGGCAAGCGTAAGCAAAAATCTCTCTTAAAAAAATTAATTAGGGTCTGGCAGGTGGCGTGGTGGTTACGGGCACTGGACTTCCACATGACTGACCACCATTCGAGTCCTAGACCTGGCAGCTTGCTTTCTCACTTTCTCTCTCTCTCTCACTCTGTCCCTCTCTGGTCAAATTTAAATAAGTAAATAAATAAATAAAGTTAAACAAAATAATTCTTTAAAAAACAATTAATTTATTGATTTATTTTAAAAAATAATAAAACACCCTATCTGGTCTCAAGGAAGTCATAGCGCACGCCTAGTTCAGCGAAGAGACAAACAAAAATGACTACTTTGGGTGGTAATTACAGTGATGGGGATTAGGGGCTTGGAAGAAAGGGCACGGCTACTTCTTGTAGAGAGGTCAGGAGAACATCCCTGAAGAAGCCATGTCTGTGCTGAAACCAGAAAGACTGCAAACAGTTAGCCAGGCCAAGTGGGAGCAGTGATTCTGGCGGAAGAAATCCGCATGGCCCAAGGCCTAGAAGCCAAGTATGGCTTGTTGGAGAAACTGAAAGAAAAGTCACAGAAACTCAGTGTTGGAAAGTATTTTAATACACATTAAAACCACTTGCTTTTTTATGCAAGGAAGCCGAAGCTCAGAGAGGGGAAGTGGCCCAACGAAAGCTAAGGTTTTGGCACACGGAACGCTATCCTGAGGCATTTACATACCTGAACACCTGAGTGTCAGGTCACAGAGGGAAGGGTGACATGAAAGCTGACTGCCACTTCCAAAAAGATGTCAGTAGCCTCTACCACATAAACTGAATTTAGGAAGGAACAGAACAGCTCCAAAGACAATATTTCTGAACACCTCGCCGCAAACGCCACGTATTGTACCTATGAAGTACAGAGCCTGCCTCTTCAAGCAGTAACAACCCTCAGGTGCGCAGAGCCTCTGTTTGCCATGATCCCTGGGATCATGCCAGTTCTTACTTTTTAACAGGTCTTTTTTTTTTTTTTTTTTTTTTTTTAAGAGCACTTTTAGATTCATAGCAAAATTGAGCAGAAAGTACAGGGAGTTCCCATGTCCCCCATGCTCCTGCCACAACAGCCACCCCCACTGTTAACACCTGGCACTAGAGGGACACATTTGTTCCACTTGATGAACCTACATCGACACATCATTACCCCGAAGTCCACTGTTATATTGGGGAACACTTCCGGGGTGTACGCTGTATGGGTTTGGGCAAATGTATAACGACCTGTTTCCATCATTATAGTGTCATACATTGGACTGTTGGAAAAGCCATGACCTATATTTCTTTTTCTTCCCTTTTTTTTTTTAAAGAGATTTTTATTATAGGCCGTGGGCATTCACTGAAGGATAGAAAGCGAAAAGTCACTCCCCAGGTGGATGGCCATGCCATAATCCCTTCTCCTCCATTCTTTTCAAGGAATTTTTGGGGGGCACACGTGTACATACTCCCAGAGTGAATTTTAAGCTGCCATGTCTAGGACTTGAACCATGGTCTACTATGTAGGAGTCCAGCAACGTAACCATTATGCCATCAGCTGGTCCTATGACATATTTTTTCTATGCAAAGATGCATCATGGCTTTTCCAACAACCCAATAGCTTCACTGCCGTAAAAATCCTGTGTTCCACATAGTCATTCCTTCCCCAAAACCTCAATCTCCTATTGACCATTGATTGTTTACTGTCCCTGAGTTTGGCCTTTTCCGGAATGTCATACAGTTGGAATGATATAGAATGTAGCCTTTTCAGATTGACTTTTTTTTTTTTTTTTTGAGAGGTTTTTGCTATAGGGCACGTGCGCTCGCCAGAAAGACAGAGAGAGACAGAAAGCGAGAAATCACCTCAGGGGGGGTGGCCACACCGCAATCCCTTCTCTTCCATTCTCCTCTCGGGATCTTGGGCATGCACACATACGTATTGGTGTGAGTTTAAGCCACCAGTTCTGTGACTTGAACCCCAGCGACTACATGGGAGTCCAGCAACGTAGCCATTAAGCCATCTGCTGGTCCCCAGATTGGCTTTTTAAAAAATTTAGTAATATGCATTTATATTTTCTCTATGTCTTTTCATGGCTTAATGGTTCATTTCTTTTTCATGCTGAATGACATTCCATTTTCTAGATGTACTACAGTTTATTCATTCGCCTACTGAAGACATCTTTGTTGTTCCCAAGTTTTGGCAATTATGAACAAAACTGCTATAAATATCTTTATGCCAATGTTTGTATGGATATAAGTTTGTAACCTATTTCAGTAAATACAATTTCAGAATTGTACAATAAGAAAATGTTTAGTTTTATAAGAAACTGCCTGGGACCAGCAGGTGGTGTGGTGGTTAAGAGTGCTGGACTCCCACATGACTGACCATGGTTCAAGTCCCAGACCTGGCAGCTTACTTTTTCACTTTCACTCTCTCTCTCTGTCCCTCTCTGCTCAAATTAAAAATATAAATAAATAAATAAATAAAGTTAAAGAAAATATATATTTTTTTAAATAAAGAAAGAAATTGTTGGGACCAGCAGTTGGCATAATGGCTATGTTGCTGGACTCCCATGTAGTCGACCACAGTTCGAGTCCCAGACCCGGTGGCTTAAACTTATGTGGGGTGCATGTGTGTGCATACTCAAGATCCCAAGAGGAGAATGAAGGAGAAGGGATTGCAGCGTGGCCATCCCCGCTGGGTGGGGGGTGATTTCTCGCTTTCTGTTTCTCTGTCTCTCTCTGTCTTTCTGGGGAGCGCACGTACCCTATAGCAAAAACCTCTCCAAAAATAAAAAAAGAAAGAAAAGGAAAAAGAAAGAAACTGCCACACCATCTTCCAAAGTGACTGTACCATTTTTATTTTCTAACTAACAATGAATTAGAGTTTCTGTTGCTCTACATCTTCACCAGCATTTCATGTTATCAGTATTTTGAGGTTTTTTGCTATTCTAATATGTATGTAGTAGTATCTCATTTTAATTTGCATTCCCTAGTGACACAATAGTGACTATCTTCTTTTTTATTTTTGGAGAGGTTTTTTGCTACAGGGCACATGCACTCACCAGAAAGACAGAGAGACAAAGAGAAACAGAGAGACAGAAAGCGAGAAATCACCCCCCAGGGGGATGGCCACACGACAATCCCTTCTCCTCCAATCTCCTTGGGATCTTGGGCACGCACGCACACGCGCCCAGCATGCGTTTAAAGCCACTGGGTCCAGGAGTCAAACCACGGTTGACTACATGGGAGTTCAGTGACATAGTCATTACGCTAACTGCTGGTCCCAATAATGACTATCTTTTATATAGTTATTTGTCATCTGTACAATTTTTTTTTGTTGAAATGTCCTTCCTTTTATCTATTTTCTTTCTTTTTCTTTATTCTTTCTTTCCTTTTTTATTTTTTATTTATTTATTTTTTTAGACAGAGGTTTTTGTTGTTGTTGTTGTTGTTTTGTTTTTTTTTTTTGCTATAGGATATGTGTGCTTGCCAGAGAGAAAGTAAGAAGTTCCCCCTGCCAAGGGGGATGGCCATGCCACAATCCTTTCTCCTCCATTCTCCTCTCAGGCTTTTGGGCATGCATGTACACACCCCCAGTGTGAATTTCAAGCCACAGAGTTCAGAAATCAAACTGCGGTCAACCATATGGGAGTCCAGTGCTTCAACCACTATGCCACCTACTGGCCCAGTTTTATCCATTTTCTTACTGTTGAGTTTTAAGGGCTCTCTGTATATTTTGTGTAATAGTCTATTACATCTATCTATTATTAACCTTTTTTTCCCTTTCTGTAGCTTATTTGCTCATCCTCTTTATTTATTGATTTTTTAAAATTTTGCCAGAGAGCACATGTGCTCACTGGAGGAAACAGAGAGGGAAAGTGAGACTGTACCCCCAATGGGGAATGGTCATGACACAATCCTCTCTCCTCCATTTCTCCCTCCTTTCAGGATTTTGGGTATGCACATACATGTGCCCAAAATCTGTCTCAAGCTTCTGGGTTCAGAACTCAGTCTGTGTAGTTGACCACATGGAATCGAACCAACTTAACCACCATGCCACAGGCTGCCCCTTTGATCTTCTTGATAGTGTCTTTTGGAGATAAGTTTTTAATCTTAGTGATATCTAGTTTATCAAACATTTCTTTAATGGAACATGCCTTTGGTGTTAAATATGGAAATTTTATTACCAAACCTATGGTCATTTAGATTTTCTTCTAGGAATTTTATGGTTTTGTGTTCTACTTT